CAACTAGTGTATATATATATATATATATATATATATATACATCTGTTATAAAGAATTTCCTGTCACTAATAAATATTCAAATAGAATTGAAAAAAATTAAAGAAAAAAAAAGTGCAAATTTTATCGTATAATAATTAACAATGATTGTAATTTTAAAAACAATTAATCAAATTGATAAAACAATTGATAAAAACAACTGATCAGTTCAATTTCAATTTCTAAGCAAAACAACTGATCAATTCAATTTCAATTTCTAAACTATTAATAGCAATTTTCCTGCTAATGAAAAATTAATAATAATTAACAATGATACATATAAATTATCCAACTTTTATTGCATAAAATATTTCTTTCATTTAAAAAAAAGTTTTTTTAAACTTACTTAAACAAAAGTTTTTTAGCATCCGGTGAAACAGCCATTGTACGATATGCACTACTTACACCGGTAAATGATCGTAAATCTTTTAACTCATTCATATCACCACCATCCGTTTCAATTTTTGATCCACTTGCACAATTTAAAATATTTAAATCGATAAAACTACGACATTGCATAATTTCATTTTTTATTATCCTGCTATTGGCTTTTTCCCTCATCGTCTCCTTATAAGATATTTATCTGTAAATATTTACAATAATATAATATTATATACAGTACCTAATTTTCAAATTATCACAACAATTATCAATAATCAATAGGATGGAAATTTAATTGTACAATTAAAAACAAATGATAATATGAAATTGTTTTTTCATTTTTCTTTTTTAATAGAGTCTGGGATGAAATTTTTGGACTTAATTTTTTTTTTCTAAAATTTCATTCATTGCGTCCTCTTTTTCTTTTTTCTTACCCTAGAACTGGTTTATCTAATTCATTTGCCACAGTTTGTTTTTATTCTTAATTTACATTTAAATAGTTTACTTCTACAATATTATCTAAGCTTAATGAAAACTGTTAAAGTTAGAAATGATAAATTTAAAAATTATCATATGCAATAATTATGTTTAATAGTTACATCATCAGTTAATCCAAACATTGAATTACTAATTGAGGGTACAAAAAAAAAAAAAAGACAGAAATTTGTGATAGAAATTCATGAAAAAAAATGAATATGCAAAGTAATAAACGATATTGAATTTTCCATATAATATTAATTAATTAATGAAAGTATTAAAATGACTTTTTCCTCTATCATTCTTTGGTCAAAAACTCTAAACGATTATGTCAACTTTTTACTTTTTTCATATATAAATTTTTCTGAAAAAAAACAGTAATTTTCAACATATAATTAAATTAATTTTGAAAAAAATACTTGAAATTTATGAAATTAAATTTTCAATTTTTATAAAAATTTTCCTTTTTTTGCAAATAAAAATGCATAATATTTCCATCACTAAATAT